CACCTTCCTAGCTTGTTCCAGCATCAACACTAAGCCTAAAGTCCAAAGTCTCATCTGAATAGCATTTAATCAGCTCTGGGTGAGACGCAAGGTATTCTTGATTCATTTCATCCTGAGGCAAAATTGCCCTCCAGCTGTGCGGGGACAGGCTCAGCATAGGCCAGTGGTCGGCAAACTCATTAGTCAGCAGAGCCAAATATCAACAGTACAACGATTGAAATTTCTTTTGAGAGCCATTTTTAAAACGTAAATTATATAGGTAGGTACATTGTTATTGACTTAATTAGGGTACTCCTAAGGCTTAGGAAGAGCCACACTCAAGGGGCCAAAGAGCCGCATGTGGCTCGAGAGCCGCAGTTTGCCAACCACGGGCATAGACCTTCCCCTTCCAAAAGGGAGGACAGGAAATAAGGAAGGTGATGGGTCCCAAGGGAGTCTAAATCCTCGCAAGGCCAACACCAGGAGATCTTAAGGCTCAACCATCATCCTCTTCGGCTTGATGATCTGCCCTTTGGTCCCAGTGGGGTGATCAGCCAGGCCCTGCTGGGCAGGGGTCATGCCCTCACAGTTCTGCTGCGTGTCCCCCAGCGTTGGCCTGTGGAAAGCAAGCCTGTGGGCCCTCCTTTTGAAACGGGGGGCAGCCCTGAGGCTCTGAATGGCCTCTGGGGTCATTCTCCTCTTGCTGGAAGAACGGTGGTGTTCCCGGCAGAGTAGCGCTGTGGTTCCATCCCGTAAAATCCAGGAAGTCCGGCAGCCTGCCTCGTCCCATCCCCGTTCCTCCTCCTCAGCTCACCCTGTCAGTGCTCCTGGTAGGGCAGCCGATCCCATCCCCGGTTCACGCCCACACTCATCTCCTTGTGGTCGCTCGGCCGCACCCTGGGGTTCTCTTCTGGAGACACTTGCTTAGTTTTTGCAGCTTGCACAGGCGGGGGAGTCTCCAAATCTGTACATTCTAGTCATTTTTGCTTAATAAGGTCACCTTCAAGTCATGACTCTCTTACATTTCACTCTAAGCAGTCAGGAGGGGCCAAGCCATTCCTTCCACACTTTGCTTAGAAATCTCCTTGGCTAACACCAGGTTCATCACCTGTAAACTGGACCTTCCACAAATACTGGAACATGAACACAGCTTAGCCGAGTTCCTTGCCACCGTATTACAAGGACTGCCTGTCCTTCAAATAGCACACTCCTCATTTCTGCCCCAGACCTCAGAATGGCCTTTACCACCCAATTTCTACCAACATTCTGGACACGATTATGTCTCTTCTCTAAAAGGCGGGAGCTTTCTCCACAGCTCTTCTCCGTCCATTATGAGCCCTTCCCAGAATTGCCTTTAAAAGTCCCTTTAGGACAATCTCGGCTTCTTCTAGTGTGCATCTCAAAGCTTTCCAGTCTCGACCCATCACCTGGTTTCACAGCTGTTTCAGCATCTTTTGGTTTTTGCTGTAGCAGCACCACTTCTGGTGCCCATTCCTGTCTGAGTCAGGGCAGGCTGCTATCACAACGTGCCACAGACCCGGTGGCTGTGGGAATTCGTCTCTCACGGTTCTGGAGGCTGGAAGCCTGAGGTCTGGGTGCCAGCAGGGCCGGGTTCTGGTGAGAGCCCTCTCTGGGTTTCAGACTGCTGACTTCTGTTGTGTCCCTCCCTGGAAAGGGAGTGAGCGGGCTCTCTGGCCTCCTTTTATAAGGGCCCTAATCTCGTTCATGAGGGCTCCACCCTCATGATCTAATCACCTCCCAAAGATCACCGCCCATCTCCAAATACCATCACATTGAGGTTAGAGTTTCAACATATGAATTTCTGGGGGACACAAACATTCAGTCCATAACGATGGCTTATACATTAATTTTCATATTGGAGCATTGCATGTACTGGATATGCAAGTTGAACAAAAATAATAAAGATCACAAATGTCATTCATAGACATGGTCTGCACACTAGGTCCCGGCAATGTGCTCTGCAATAGCCTCATTATCCCCATTATATACACGAGAAAACTGAGGCTTAGAGAAGTTTAAAAAATTCTAAAAGTTACCCAGCTGGTCAGTGGCCGAATCTGGACCCAATCATGACTCTCAAAGCCTCCGGAATCCATGCTCTCGGCCACGATGCTTTATTAATTGGACCCCACTCTGGTGTTCTGGGGGAGCACACTGGAGACGCGTGGCGTTTCCCTGGCCACACCAACTGCCCTTAGGAGGCCCCAGCTGACCAGCACTGTGCTTCCTGAGTGAGGCGTCAGATCCAACAGCTCACGCACACGCAATTTTGCCCATTTTACTAGGCTGCCTGGTATATTGGCCTGGCCTTGGATTCTTGGTTGCAAATAGCAGATCCCAGGAGCACCCCCTGGGAGGTAAAGGGCCAGAGGCCAAAGCCGTCCCCATGCCAGGGTCAGGATGGGGTCCTCTCTCTCTGGCCTTGGGAGGGTCCTGCCTACACACACGTCAGAGCTGGAAGAGGCCTGAAGAGTCTCCTGGTCAGAAGCCTCCTTTTACAGGGACCACTCAGGCCGAGGCAGGCCAGGGTTCGAGACAGGTGCACCAGCTTTGCCACGTCTGCACCGAGTCCAAGGAACTCCACAGGCCTGACAACCTGCGGTCCCGCCCATGAGTGCAGCCCCGTCCTCCGTCCTCTGCCTCAGCCTTCAGCCTCTCCCGTCTCTCCCAGCAGCGGGGCTTCTCCCCTGGGCCTGCCTCCTCAGGTTCAGGGCGGTGGGCCAAACAGGCAGGAAAGGAAATCAGAGCCCAGGCCGCTTACTAATATTTCCCAGCACCCCAGAGCCTCTCCACTGAGTGTGTGGGCCGGCTGGAAGGCAGCTGCAGGACCAGAGGCAGCCACAAGGTGGCAGGCTCTGCACGCTCTTCTTTAGGGAACAGAGGCCAATTCTTTGGGCTAGAACTGGAGTTCTTGGTGCGGGGGCGGGGAGGGTGAGGAGAGAAGGAGAGAAGGGTCCGTCCAGGTCAGGAAGCTGTAGCAAACCTCACAAGACCAAGTCATTGGCACACAAATGCGTCATTGACTCAATGGTTTCCCAGCGGAGCCTGTTCTAAGATTCCAGGGAGTGTTCACAGGAGCCAAACTGTGGAGGGCGGGGAGTGGATGGAAGGGGCGGAGCTGGACGGGGGCCGGGCAGAAGGGCGTGGTGACCACACCATGGCGGAGAAGGCCCTGCAGTCCCTACGCCCAGCCCGTTGCCACGACCAGCTCAGGCAGGAGCATGGCACGATGCGGAGGCTGGGGCTGCTGAGGGGATGACTCCGCTGGTCCCTAAGCTGCCCCGGGGGCACCGATGCCATAGCCCGCTGTCTGATCCCTCATGTTACAAATTACTTTTGTCCCCTCTCCTGGCCAACCAGCCTGACGCTGAATTCATTTCTCATGTTGCTATTTGTTCTGGAGAGAACATACCAGCCACCAGAACTTATTATCTTTCTTAATAAGGATTAATAAGCAATATTTATATCAATTAGACCGCCCGGTTGCCATTCAGAGCTGTGAATTTAGTGTGTGCAGCCGGCAGGCTCTGCACATCCCCTGGAGGTGACAGAATCCGGTTTCTTTCAGAGAACCTAGGAGCGGAGGACCAGCCCTGCCCGCCGAGTCCATCAGCAGCGGCCTCGCTGGAGTTCGGGTGCAGACACCTGGCGGGCTCGCTCTCTCGCTCCAGCAGCTCCTCGGTGGCACTGGGACACTCATCTGTTCATAGAGCAACAGTGCCGGAGGGACCCTGGTGCATCTGACAAAGAGAGGGAATCCCAAAGAGGGAGCTGGCTTGCCCAAGGGCCCGCTGCTGGGAAGAGCTTTGAGGACGATTCAGCATATCCTTTGGGAAAGTCTCAACTGGGGGGACTCCTTGGGGTCAGATGGAAAGAAGAGATGGACAGATGG